GCAAGATTGTGGAGACCAGTGTGGGTAACTATTGAGCTCATGGGCATAAAGGACAGACACAAAGTATACTTGGCTGACATTGAAAACCAATACATATTAGGGTTGGACTACTTACTACCGAGTAGGTGTGAAGTTAACTTCGATAAAATGACGATTGGGAACAACAAAGGCCAAATTCTACTAAGTGTTGCTGCATCTGTTGATGTGCATGTCACAGCACTTAAGTCAACCACAATACCCTCTATGTCAGACAAGATATTTTGGGGTAAAATAAAAGAACATTCCCAAGGAAGCCCAATGCTTGTGGAAGTCCCAGCCAGGCCAGCAGATGTGAATATTGGAAGGTCACTTGTGGCAGGTCATCAAGAGGTACCCATAACAGTGGCCAATTTCTTTAAATGTGAGCAGACACTTAAGGAAGGGGCATTGTTGGGTGTGTGCCAAGAGGTAGAGCTAGTCAATGTTAAGGCAAGAAATACAACCATAAAGAGAGGACCTTATTGTGTTTGCAACAACGTTTGATGATGAAATGCCCCAGCTACAGGAAGTATTCAAGCACTTGAAAGCAGCAAACCTCAAACTCCATCCCAAGAAATGCCACTTGTTCCAGAAAGATGTGCTTTACTTGGGTCACATTGTAAGTGAGCAATGGTGTACAAACTGATCCTGACAAGGAGAAAGCAGTGCGTGATTGGCCAACACCATATAATGTGGGAGAGGTAAGAAGTTTCTTGGGACTCTGTACTTATTACTGGAAGTTTGTGAAGAACTTTACAACTATAGCTGCTGCACTACATGATTTGACAAAAAAGGGACAGAAGTTCGAATGGACAGTTTCTTGCCAGTATGCTTTCAAAACATTGAAAGAAAAATTGGCCTCAGCTTCACTTTTAAAGCTTCTAAATCCCTCACGGCCATACATACTGGATTGTGATGCTAGTAATGTCGGAATTGGAGGAGTGTCGTCTCAGAAAGAGGGCGAAAACGAAGATGTGGTGGCCCACTTTAGTAGGGTCCTGAGTAGACCACAGAGGAACTACTGTGTAACACGGAGGGAACTCCTTGCTATATTAAAGAGTCTGACATATTTTCATCCTTACCTCTATGGGGCTAGGTTTACCATCAGAACAGACCATGCTGCATTACGCTGGTTAAGATCATTAAAAAACCCAGAGGGACAACTGGCACATTGGATCGGAAAGATAGACCAGTATAATTATGATACTGAATACAGAGAAGGAAAATCTCATGGAAATGCCGATGGACTGAGCCGAAGACCCTGCAAAAATGACTACAGACATTGCTGCAAAAGAGAGGTTGAACTAACCAGGTGTTATCAAGCTGAAGTCAGAGTGACTGAAGGAGTTGATGTGGAACCAGGTATAGATATTAAAGTAGAACAGGAGAAAGGCCAAGAGTTGAAGCCAATAATTTCTACAAGCAAATGTTTTGCACCTTGCTTTGATGATG